AAATTTCATGTAATGGGCAATATCCAATCTTCTCCTTTAACAACTCAAGTCGGGCGGTCATCTGTCAGTATTGCTCTATGAGAGATAGAAATACATTTAAAAGCTCCACCATTATCCGTCTATGAGGAGTGAGTGCTTCTTGACACAGCAACTGGAGGATACACAGCAATTGTTTATCGTCAAATGGAACAATGCTTGTTGTTCAACAAATAATGATAGCTTTACTAAATAATTTATAAATTAATTAAAACACAGAAGAAACTCTCAAAATGTTCAAGCAATTCATTCATCACCGAAATTATCATAATGATAGTAGCAATTTGCGCATATCGTGATAAACTCTCGTGAAGAAGTTAGGACGGAATGACATTGCCATTGTGAGTATTAAACCGGAAAGCAACAGAACACAAAAACAATTCATATAAACAAGAAGGTACTCGTACTTGCAGCAGTTCAAGCGAATCGCTACTTGCGGCAGTTCAAGCAAATTGCATGAATTAAGACTACCTCACAGTTCGATCTGAAATTGCTAGTCCATTTCGGAACAATGAAAACTTTTCGGATAGTTTACTGATGATGTAACCGCACTCGGGGGCTCAGCTCATTCAGTTGCATTCATCAGCTGAACATGACCAGATGAGATGAAAAACGAGTCACTAAAACAACTCCAATAACATTCGGTCGCATTATTTCATAGAGAGCCCCGGCAGAATATAGAAAGACCTTCAACCCAAAGAATACAGACCATGTGTGGATGACTTAGTGTCTTAATGCAGAGTCACTCTAAATAGATTACTTTATGGGATAAATAGAATAATTTCGATAAGATAAGAAGCATTCAACTAGATACAAGCAAATCAATCACTAAATAAGCAAACACGCTTCACTGACGATTCATTTCGCCAACAATTTGAAGAATTCTCAAGAAAAGATTAATGATATCCAAATAGAGCGATACACAAGCTTCGATGTAATCCTCAGGTGAGCTGTGATGAATGATGCGATCGAGATCGAAGATCAAATAAATCGAGAACAGTATCGCACCTCCAATGGCCATCGCCAAATTGAATGCTTCTGATTGGACGAATATCTGAATAAAAACGTCTTGAATTGAGTTCTTAACTTGATTGAGTCACACCGATTTGAACATAAACATCACATGATCAAACTGGATCGTCTAGAGCAGTGGTTCTCACGTCCGGGTGCTCCATTACACTTTCTGATGATCTGACAGGCCGCCGTTACCCCCCCCCCCTGATACAAGAACTTACGTGTTCCTCATTACTGCAGTAGATTATGACTACATGTGTTGCTCATTATTGCAATCGATTATGATTGCATGGAAAGCTATTGTCTGTGACACGCACACTTCAAACTGTTGTGCATGGATTCTCATTCTTTTCAGACGTGTTGTATTCGCTCTCATA